CTGACATCGTTCCATTCAAAAATCCACATCGGTCTTCTTTTCATCTGTATCGTTTCTCATCGTCATTGCATTCAGATTAGCATGCTATGCTAGAAGCTAGTTAGTGTGTACGATGCTACAACGATAGGTGTACGATGGTCCGAATAAATATGCTCTGAACGAATACCGATAGTAGTAATGATTTTTGCATTCAAACAGAAATTGGGTGTACGTCAATACCGATGACAGGTATGCATCACAGATATCATGGCTCATGCAAAACGTGCATGACAAGTCTCACAATCGTCCAGACCCAGACATTTTCGCAGTCCATATGGCTGCCCTGGACGCAATGCACGGGCCACATCACCTATCATATGAAAAAAGCGTTTCCCTGTAAGGATTTTGCGAGTTTTGCATTACAAGTTCGTCACACATGACAAGGAAAACTTGCCATGCGAGGTTGCAAAGGGAAAACACAGCTAAAAATCACTTGTCTTGCATGTGTAGCAACACAAACACTTCTACGATGCATTTTCTGCATCACAAGTTCACAGTGAAACACTTTTTTCTTGCGATATCACCTGGTTCGTCTCCACAGTGTTGCCGTTGGTCGCCGTGCGGATCAGCTTGACCTCCTCGAATTCCTTCTTCCCGGGGTTGTTGTATCAAAGTGAAAAAATAAGCCCCCACCCCATATTCTTCAAAAGACAACTTGCGTTGCTGGATTTGTGTACACAAATGAACTTTGTATTGCAGCGAATTATGCTTGTCGGTAATATATTCTAAGCCCATTTGGGTACTACGCATCCGGCTAGCAGCTGAGCATGAGAAACAAGTCTGACATAGGCGAAAACGCATGACAAATTCGCTGCACAATGCGCCACATGGGTGCCGCTTGCCTTGCACGCAAGACAAAGCTGATTTGTGGCCACGAATCAGCATCACAAATTTCCTTTTCGATATGGGGACGCGGGGGGATTTTTCCTTACGATATGTTAGCGGCAAAGCTCATGTGGTCGGCCGGGTGCCAGTCCTGGGACCACACAATCTTGCGGTTCATCTATAACCCGCTCAGGCATTACAATGATCTCAAACGCTACAATAGAGTCTGGATTTTGCATTGCATGACGCGCATGACACACTCGCAGAGCGTTCCGTCTTCTGCAATACAAATTTCGGCAGATTCTAGTGCGGTTTGGGACTCGAGAACTTGTCATGCGCAATCCTGTGGGAGAGTAGTAGGCTAGATCATGCACTCTTGCATTACAGATTTCCATATTCTATTGTAACCGATTTGAGTAATATTGTAACGTTTGAGCGGGTCATATCATCGACCGGGCCTTTCCCACGAACGCGCGCACGGCTTCTTCGTACTTCTGGTCCGCACCGGGGACCGCGAGGGCACCGCCTTCCAGAAAGTCGTACTGGTATCGAAAGGGAAAATCCCCCCTCCCCAACTCAAAACGGAATTTCTGATGCTGGACTTGTGTACACAAATCAGGTTTGTATTGCAACAAGGCACTGCGGCCAGATCCCCAGGCGAGGTAGGGGCGTATGGGTCTAGTTGTTCAGCATGGCAAACGGCTCCCCTTTAGGCGCAACAGCATGACAAATCGCTTCCATAATGGGGCGGAAGCTTCTGCCCTTGTCTTCTTGCAAGACAAATGTGATTTGTGACCTCAAATCAGCAACACAAATTCTCGGAAACATTACCTTTTCGGTATGGGGAAGGGGGATTTTTCCTCTTGATAACTGGAAGTCGACGACGATAACCGCAGTGTTATCCGGAACAAAAACGTCCCCACTCCAGCGTTGTCATGCAAATGCGCAATGACAACGACAGAAATCGATTTGTAATGCGCAGCTCCATGAAGCAGAGGCATTTCCAATCGCGCTTTGGAATTTGTAATGCTTTAAACAGGATGAGAAGCTGGCTTTCTCATCCGGCTGCCCTTGCTAAAAACAACACGGCGCTACAGATGGAAACTTGTCATGCAAAACTCCCAAAACTATAGAGATTTGTGTTGCTAGATTCCCAGCTTGACTACGGGGCGGGGACGTTTTTGCTTAGGATAAGTGTCCGGATCCTGGAGAACCTTTTCGGCGAGCAAGACGTTGTTTGTTCCCAGCGCAGTGTTACCCCCGCCGTTGTTATCAAATGCAAATATGTCTGGGTCTGGAAGAGTGTTAAACTTGTCATGCAGGTTTTCCATGACCCATGAGGTCCGGAATGCGGGACCTAGCATGACAGAGTCTGTGAGGTCTTTGCTATGCCTATCCTGCATGAGAAACTCGAACTCGCTCCCAACTTGGTCGAAAGTGGACAGCTTTCGGCCCTCATGCAACACAGACTTTCGCACTATTCGGATTTAGCATGACAAGTTGCAATCTTCCAGACCCAGGCATTTTTGCAATCCATAGTTGTTGTCGTTCTGGCGACAGGCGTACACGATTCCAACCGTTGCACCGGCAATGGCACCAAGACCGAGGAGGACGATGAGGGCAATGGCCCAGACGGGGCAACAAGACGATTTGTTTTTCATCCCAACACGACTACCATCTTCCTGCTGCGCTACCACCACTTTATCGGAGCACGCGGGGGCGGTAGCTGCGAAGGCGTCGTGGGAAAAATGGAAATCCTCCTGCTCCTCTTCCGACACGAAGTCAGCATCTTGGTACGAACCAAGAAACGCATCGTCATCTGCGCCCGACGAGGGCTGCATGACGTAGTTCTCAGGAACAACGTGAGAATAAAACGTGTTGGACAAGTGACTCGACATTTTTACTTTATTTTCTCTATATGCAGCTGATGTGACAGCACTGTATTGTTCAAAAATCTTTTCTGCTGTTGTTGTGATGTAAAATTGCAATACGTTGTAAAAAATTCTTGCGCAGCTGCAGCAAGAACAAAGTTGTACTCTGTGACGAGGATTATATTACAGTTGCTATTTTTGTTATAGTCGTTGATCGGATGTGGTCGTAGGCTATGAAGATTGATTTGGGGCAAAGATCTAGCTTTTTATCTAGGTTTTTAGAAGAGGTGTTCCTGTGTAAAGTTTAGCAGAGGTGGTCCTTGCAGCTACGGCAAAACTCAGCGACGTCGAGACCGGCGGGTACTTCCTACTACTACCTGGACGTAGTAGAAGTTCGTTTATTGATGTTCATGTTCTTTACTGTGTTCTTGTACAGGACTGCCACTACATGTGATTTCATTCTTGTGATGAGCAATGGTGTCGAAATCGAAATGCAGCTTTGCCGTTGTACCGATGTTAACATTTTTCAAATTGCTGAATTTCATTTTCACGAACGGACACCGACTTGATCTACAACTTCACTTCGACTTCGACATGAGAGATAGCGGAAAAATCTCCACATCTGATTATGCCGGGGTTCGTCACGATCTTGGTTCCTACTTTTTCAGTTTTGTATAATTGGGTCACCAAAAATTTTCGGATCTGCTGCCATTGCAGTTCTAAGAAGGGCGCGATCTTCTTCTTTGATTTTTTTTACATGTTGAGGGCAGGCACCTCACGTGATCGTGCAAAAGATGTCAAGCGTTTGAACCACTGAAGGTGTCACCTTCAATTTTCGAGTTGAGCCAACTATATACTGATATACACAGATAGACACGTCGACAATCAGGGCATAAAAGCCTCCCAGTTTATTTTGCTTTGTTCATTTCTCTCTTTTAATGTTCCACTTTTTCGCTTATGGCACGAAGACGAACTTCGTTCCTCCCTGCACACTGGAACACGAGAAGAACACGATTTCCTCGTGCGAAGATACGGTGGACCAACGAAACACCAATCACTTCCAGGTCAACAGGCAAAAAATTGAGTCAGGAGTGATCTTCAACCTGTTGCTTCAGAGGAAATGCATTTTTTTTCAATATAAATTTGAGTCGCCTTCGACAAAAAATCATGTTTTCGTTTGAAAAAAGTGGCGAAATATTGGTTCTTTTGTGCTCCTTACATGAATTCGTGAATGTTCATCATGGAATTATCTGTGCAGATGTTGACCTCCTGTTTTGGGGGTCGGAGAGCCGGAAAAACATGTGAAAAATATGTTGCTTTATTTGCTTGGCAGTTTTCAAACGGTGGACAAAATCTTTTTATGATCTCCACAATACAACGCGTATACCAGCAACAATCTGAGCATGCGTTTTCGGTAAATCTGAGCATGCATTTTCGGTATAAAATAAACCGCGTTAAGAAAGGCGTCTCTTCAAAAATTTATTCTGTATTGGTTATGGTTTTGGTAGGAAAAAAGATCAGTGTTGAAATAGGTGTGATGTTGTCAAGGGAGCGACCACAACTCGACTGTAAGTATTACTTCGTTCATTTGCACGGATAATGGTAGAGAATGAGGCACAAGCAGCAGTAGCCGCTGCTGTATCTACTTATCCTCAGAGCAGTCAGCTTTTAGAGGCATGTAAAAACGATTCATTTTAGATATCGAAAATGGAAATCAAAAAAACAAGAAAGCAAGCTATTGATAAATCGGTCAAATATAGCGGTTTTGACAGACAAAAAAAAGTGTAGAAACTGGTATAAACAAATGCAACAGTGGGACTATAGTCGAGCTACTCCTGCAACATCACAACTTTATCTCCACCGACCGGCAACCTCGTCGGAATTAACGGAGTAGAACCAGGGAAGGAGTGACGGTCTTCTTCTTCTTGGAGGAAGAAACTACTGAACAGCGCTGCTGGTGTGGACGTCCAGACCGAATGTTGGCTATTGTTAGCACGACTACTTACTGGTGAGGACACACATGTTTTTACAACTGGTCCGCGTGATTTGCTGAAAGCACCGGGTATGAGTCGTATGAGTGGGAAAAGCAGTGGAAGATGGTATCATATCTACAAACGTCCCCACCTCATAGTCAAGCTGGGATGAACACTGCAAGAAGAAGTCCAGAAGTTTTGGGAGTCAACACGCAGGACAAGTTTTGTTCCGCTGTTTTGGAATGCAGAGTCGCAAGGACAGCCGCATCACAAATCCATCTGCTTATCGTGTTTACAGCAGTTTTACAAAAAATGCGCGAACATGAATGGAAATGCCTATCGTGTGGATCCGCATCACGAATAGTCCTGCACTTGCAATAAATCCGCATGACAACTCTAGATCGGGGACGTTTATTTTACACACAGGATAGATGTCGTCCGTCAAGTAACCTTTGGAGCAGTTCACGTTTGGTTCCACACGGTTTTTTATCAAATGCAAATATGTCTGGGTCTGGAAGGATCCGAACTTGTGATGCGTGTTTCGGATCCTACAAAGATCTGTGATGCATAACGTGGAAAAGGTGCCCACTTCGGGCCATGTTGAGAGGGCATTTCTCATGGAGAATACGCATTACCAAGGAGGGTGCAGAACCTGTGATGCTAGGCGTTGCATTCCAGACGTGGGGGAGCTTGCAAAAACTGGATGACAAATCTCGGAATCTCCCAGACCCAGACATTTTTACATTTGATATTTTTGAAGGCTGCTTCTTTCCGGGCCGGAGGAATGCGTCGAAAGATCACCCACAAGGCGTCGAGTTCGAGTTTACGCAGCTTTCGCTCCTCCTCTCGGTAATCCTCGTAAACGTACCGCAACCGCTTCTCACCGGAGGTAAGGAACGTGTAGAGCTGCACTTTGTTGATATCCTGTACGACGTCCATTCTTGCGTACTCGACTGCTGTTCCACGTGGTGCTCTCTCCGTGTATGGTGTTCTCAACTGTTACGCTCTCAGCTGTTGCATGCTTTGTCATGCAGAACTCTCATCAGTATCTACGCCATCAAGCTGCCTCGCATGACAAATTTCCGAAGAGCTGAACAGCATCTAAATCTGTGCCAAACCTGTAATGCAAACGGCGAAATCTTCTCCCTCGCACATTTGCCATTTTTGCATTACAAATCCACGTAACAGTTGAGAATGTAACGCTTGAGAACGCCATACCGTGTGCGCTGGGTTTCCGTTGATGGAGGTGCCGCTGGATACCGTTCGGTGCCGCAACTGAGGGGTGGGGTCGTTATGGGAATCTCAAGCCTTACGCGGCTTGCTGATACATGATTTGTGACGCAAAACAACCATGATCAACACCAGCATCCAGCACACAACCAAGAAACTACTTCGCATTACAAAGAACTTGGGCCAAACAAAAGCATGGAATTGTTTGCCGAATTTGTAATCTGAAAGGTGCAGACACAGACTTTTGCCCCTCTTGCATGACAAACTCATCATGTACCGGCTGACATCGCTCGGACCGCTCGCATGGATTACCTTCTATCCCTTTTGCTCCTCCACGAAAGTAGGAATCCCAGGGGCATACTCTTGGACCTGAAGTAGAATTTGTGGGATCTCGTGGTCGATTACAACTTGCAGAGCACCCCGGCAGAGTCGGTGACCTTATAATTTTGTGATGCGTTGTCCTATGTGTTGTCTCTGAAAGCAGCAGAGTGCAGATTTGTGACACGACGCCCTGATCAGGAAGGTCACGCAAAAACTTGCTGTGTTGTATCAGGTAGTAGAGACAGATCATCAATAATTTATGCAGATTTCCCGGCGCAAGGGAATGGAACTGCGACTGCCTTGGCGAGGGCAGGGGACAGGGCACCGCAGATCGCACAAGCTGGATCGTCCTCGAGTTCGCGCGGAGGCGTGGTCCACGACTTGTTTATTTATCGATCAGTAAATCAAAAGGAAAAGTGCCCCCTTCCCATATCGAAAACGAAATTTGTGAAGCTGTATTTGAGTACACGAGTCGGCTTGTATTGCTAGGAGGCCGCGGGTGTGGCCTCGTTTGCTGGCAATTTGTCATGCTGCTTCCCACCTCCAGCTGCCTCCTGCCATGCTGAAGATGCAAGGCTTTCCCACGACACCCAGCACTACGGTGCACATCTTTTCCCTTCTAGCACGACGAAGCTGACTTGTGGCCCCAAATCTGCATCACAGATTTCCGTTTTGATATGGGAAGGGGGGATTTTTGTTCTTGATACAGTAGCAGCCAAAAAAAAACTCTTCGGCGCACTGCGCGCGCCTTCTGAAACCCCAAACCCTTTCCGAAAATAAGAAGTCGACCCTTCCGCGCGGAGGGACGACCGGAAATTTCGGCTTCTTCTTGCGCCACAAGCGCCTGAAAGAAGCCGCCCCCTCCACCCGGAGGGGCCGGCTTCTTTCTGGGCCGCCAGCGACGGAGAAGAAACCCCCTCCACGCGGAGGGCCCGGTTTCTTCATGTTCCGAATCGCGCACGCTGCGCGCGGAATCTTCTGCGCGTTTGATGTTTTCCCGAAGAGGAGCCGCAGCTCGAGCAGTGGATTCTCACGGAGGTGGCCAGCTTTTTTATAATCCCGGCCACCTCATGAAAGCGCAGCACCCCTGCTGTGAACCATGGTTTCAGCAGGGTGTTGGCCTACTGTGTTGCAGAGTAATTATATCCGGGTCGAAAGTAGGGTGCAGAGTTGTGATACGTCCTGTGGAAGGTGGGTCAAGCAAAAAACAACGTCTTACGGCCGACGCGAACTGTACTCCCAGTACAACCACCAGTCGAACGGACATTCCTTATCGATTTTCTCCGTTTCTACTTGGTCCCGGAGTTGCTTCCTGGGAGCCGCGTTCTCGAATTTGCGAAATGTCTCCCGCTATCAAATGCAAAAGTGTCTGGGTCTGGAAACTTGCGATGCTGGGTGGCGTATCATGAGGAGGCCGCAGGCGCTGGCTCAGAATGACAAGTTTCTGAGCTTCTAGGTGTTGCCTATTCTGCATGACAAACTGCGTTTCTGCATGACAGGAAAAAAAAAATGGGGCTCTTGGGCAATGTGCATGACAAATTCAAGAGTCATGTGAGACAAGCATGACAAACTTGCATTCTTCCAGACCCAGACATTTTTGCACTTGATATCCGCCACTTGCAAAATTCGTCTGCTACTTTTCCGCCGCACTCGCTGAAAGACGGAAGATCCGTTAGCCTCTTCTTGCCCTCCAGAAAATCCGCGAAGTTCTTGTCCATTTCTTGTTTTTTCTTGTGCCGGTCAATGTCGAGGGCCAACGCAAATTCTTCCGGCTCTCCACCCTCCTATGCATGGCGAATATGTCTGGGTCTGGATAGACGCAGCGGGAATTTGTGTTGCTGTGTATTGCATGACAGAGCGATCTTTTATACGGCATCCCCTCGTCACAAACCGCATGACAAAAAATTGTCCAATGGTATTCTATGCATCAGAAATAATCAAAATCCTTGCTGTCTTCAAAAATTCGCATCACAAATCCAGATCCAGATCGATACTTGCAGCGAATATGTACATCTTGGCTCGCAATATCTGCTGCACCACCAATTCCACCTGGTCGCGCGGCGGACGCGTTAACTTCTCTGGCTCGTTCCTCGGAATCGACGGCACCAGGGTGGGATAGAGAAAATCCGCGATGACACCATTTACGTCCTCCGGGAGACGCTTCTGGACCACGTTGTCGAAAATGTCGACCTGCGCCAACTATCAAATGTAAAAATGTCTGGGTCTGGAAGATTGCCAGGTTTGTCATGCACATTTTGCATGAATCCTGATGTCTGTGATGCATGCCCTAGCATCACAGACTTTGTGAGGGCTTCCTGATGCCTATACCGCATGACAAATGCTCTTTCCGTGTAGCAAAACTTGGACTCTCTTTGCTGCTCATGCAATACAGATAGAATTTTTAGAGTCCAAATTCAGCATGAGAAGTTGGATTCTTCCAGACCCAGACATTTTTACACTTGATACCAACGCGCGGTCCCGCAAGAGCTTGTGGACGGTGATCGCGTTGGTGTAACCGAGGATCTGGAGCTCCGCTTCGCGTCGCACGTACACGTCGATGACTACGGCGCCGTATCGTATTTAAAAATGTCCCCACCCCAGAGTTGTCATGCAAATCTGCATGCTGAAAATGTTTCTCATAGGGAGCTGCATGAGAAGCGTCTTCCAGTCGTGTTTTAGAATTTGTCATGCTCCAACCAGCTTGATATAGAAGATCCGTGACGTTGCTGAGCTAGCTCAAACAGCACTACAATACGAGTCCAAATTTGTCATGCAAAACAGCCGAAGCCTGTGGATTTGTCTAGCCGGGTCTCCATCTTGGCTATGGGGTGGGGACGTTTTTACATAGGATACGCCGTCTACAAAACTCTGAAGACACTGAGAGTGCAACTCTTCAAATGTACTTGAGAGTTTTGCCAGTTCATCGCCTGCCAACACAAGCCCGTCCGCCAACAGAGTGCGTAATTTGTGGTCGCGAATGTTGTATCAAGTGTAAAAATGTCAATGTCTGGGTCTGGAAACTTGTAATGCTGCGTTGGGAATAGTGAATGCTCTGTAATGCACAGCCAAGCATGAGATGAAATATCTGTGCTTCTTTGTGTTGCGTTTTTCGCATGACAAACTGCGGTTTTGCTTGACAGGCAAAAGGGTCTCTTCTTGGACACGCATCGCAAACTTTTTAGTCATGCCAGAGAAGCATGACAAGCCTCGCAATCTTCCAGACCCAGACATTTTTGCATTTGATAAGTTGGCCACGCGCGCACGTTGGACGCGTTCGTAGAGACTGGGGTACCCGCGAAAAGCAGTGCTGGCAGATTCGTGGAAATGCCGAAGCTTATTGCAGACGTGGGTTCTCGTGGGCAGATCTACGTCACCGACGGGCTTCCTGGGATCACGGGCGGGGCGGGAGTCCAAGTACTCATCCATGAGACGGGAGGGAAAATGGGAGAAATTACGCCTCCGAACATCAACCTCCCAAACCTTCAACTTGTTTTCTACGAGTGAAGAGAGGTCTCGCTGTATCCACCGGTCGCCAGTTTTCTTGTGTGCTTCAGCTGCTTCCCTGAGCCCCTTATTCTTGTGACTGAGCGCAGCCAGAGCTACCCGCAACTTGCAGTCGTTTTTGTTCTGGGCGTATCAAAAGGAAAAATCCCCCCTCCCCATATCAAAATGGAAATTTGTAATGCTGATTTGGGGTCACAAATCATCTTTGTCTTGCCTATAGGGCAATAGGAGCCGTGTGGCGCATTCCAAAGCCAATCTGTCATGCGCTTTCGGCTACTGCAGACCTGTTTGCCATGTGTAATTGCTAGCCTTCCGCATACCCAAACAGGCTCAGAAAATGCCGCCACGCACTTTCTGCAAGACAAACCTGATTTGTGTACTCAAATCCAGCATCAGAAACTTCGTTTTGATATGGGGAGGGGGGATTTTTCCTCAGAATAGGGCGAGGTTCGGCTGCGAGGGGTCGTACTTGTAAACCAGGTTTTCGATGTGTTACAATGAAACATGCCCCCACCCCCGAACTTGGGAGCATTTGTATTGCAAACCTTTCCAAATGAAACATTCGCCCTCTTGCATCTATCAGCATCACAGGTTTGTTCCTATCGTGAATAGCAAAAATTTGTGTTGCAAAAGACCCTAGCAGAAGCGGCGCTTGTCATGCAAGCGATGTGATACACGCGTAGACTCTGCATCAGAAGGATTCGTACTCCTTTCATGCGTGACGAAAAGTTTTCATTTGGAAACTTCGCATCACAAATTTTTGGAACTTTGGGGGTGGGGGCATTTTTCGCTGTAATAAGATGTCCTCTCGTATCTTTCGAAACGCCTTTGCTCGTTCGTTGAGCTCGTCTCGCTGCATCAGCACCTCGTAGGCATTTTTCGCTTCGTCCTGCAGGCGCTTCTCAACGGACGAGGAAGGATCGAAAATTCGGACACCATAAAGCGCACTAGCATAGGCGAGGGTCGGCTTCCGCTTCACTGGTGGCGCATTTTTACTAGTAGCCGAAGTTGAACTACTCGAGTTGTTGTCCTCCCACCATTCTAGGAGTCCTCTTTCTCGCGGGAAATAAGAGGAGAGCCTGCTCTGTGCTGCGGATGATGCGGTCGTGGTATGACTCCCTGCAAATGCAGCTGCTGTGGGGTCCGCGTTGGCTTTGTTGTAGGTTGGCGAAGACGACGAGGAAGAGGAAGTTACGACTTTCAAGGAACGAGTAGAAATGCGCGTGTTAGAAGGAGGTTTTTTACTTTCTCCTGTACCCGCGGAAGCAGGCTGCATCTTCATGTGGAGGAAGGCGGGTTGTTTGGAGTTAGGTAAGACCGTCAGAGCTACTTCTTCTTCTTTCAAAGACGGATCTTCTTCGTCCAGCGTCGTTGCTTGGTCCTCTTTTCTCGAAGACGGATCGCCCAAGGTCGTTGGCGTCAGATGCACGTAGCAGGACCCGGGCGTAGCTGTGCTTGTGCGCCAGCCTTGTATCCTGTGTAAAAACGTCCCCATCTCCCCAGAGTTCTTGTCTTTGTCGCGCAAATCTGCATGGTAAAAAATGTTTCTCATGCGGAGTGCAATGGGACGCGTTTTCTAGTCGTGTTTGGAATTCGGGAGTCTGTGATGCTGCTGGAGCTAGCTAAAGAGGATTACACTGCGACGCCTATCTTTTCATGCGCAGCCACCAAGAAGGTTTTATTTGTCTAGCAGATTTCCCATTTTGCGTTTGCCTCTGGTGTGGGGACGTTTTGACTCAGGATACCTTGCTCTGTGTGTTCCTCTTCGTCTCCTGCTGCGTGTGAAAGTGCACAAGCAACCCCCCCTCTCCCTCATTTGTATTGGGCATGAACACCAGCAAGACAAGCATCCGCACGAGTGCAGGTTTTGCATGACACATTTGCTACGCAGGATTGTAGTGGTCCTGCTTGGGCTGACAATCAAGCCTTGTCATGCCAATAGTGCTATGAGGCTGACAAAGGGTGGACGAATTGGTACTATTCTGCGTGACAAAAAATGAGGGGGAGGGGAGGTATGTGCACTCTGATACCGCGCCGGGACCCGATAGCGGCCTCAGAACCGCAGCTGGCCTCGGCACGGACAGCTCCGGAACGCTGTGGCGCAGGTCGTGGCTCGACGCAGATGAAGACGAGGTGGCACGACCGCCGAAACCGAAAGCGGTGGCTTTTGCTGCTTTCGCACTAGTCATCGCCGTGATCATGTGCTTTGACGAGGAGAGAAGGTTCGTGGAGGGGTCGAGCCCGCCAAAATTGGAAACCGTTGCAGTTTGCTTCCCTTCGTTATTCTTGAAGGGTTCTTTTTTGCCCGTCCCCGTGCTGCTGCTACTGGACGACGTGCCTGACGCAGTAGCTTTCTCCGAAACAATTCGTGCTGGCGGGAGAAATGACGACTTTCCGATGAGGCGTTGGGGCTGAAAGGACGAGGAGCTGTTGCTGCGAGGAGAAGTTTTATTTTTGTCCGCTTTATTAAAAATATTGCTGCTCGGTCGTGACAGAAATGAACCAGCGTGAGAACTTTGGCGCAGTCTGTCGATGTAGTCCAAAAACTCGTGCTCTTTCGCCAGGCGACCTGTTCCCCCGGAAAACTCGACGTCGCAGCTTAACCAAAAATCCGCAAGAGTGCACAAATCCGCAAGAGCGTTGTCCTGTGCAAATACGTCACCTTCGCCCCAGAGTTGTCAAGCCTATCAATTCGCTACACAATAGACCAACAAGTTTTATTGGCTGTCTCGCATGACAAGTTTGGACTCGCAGTCAAACCCAAACTTCTTTTAGCATGCGAAGCCGCATCACAGATCGATCGTCTTATCCTGACTCTAGCATTACAACCTCCTCTTAGATAGCACGAGGATTTGTTCCCCATGCAAAGGGTTCTTGCGCATGAGACACATTTGGCGGGGGCCGGGCTTGCAGATTTTTGCATGACATCAAGTCTGGGGAGGAGCTGTTTTTACACCGGATATTTGTCTGGTTGTGTTCGCCGGATGCTTGTTTCCAAATCAGCCCAGAAAACAAACCCTTCGCTGTTGCGCCACACAGCGGGGTAGAATCCGCTTGCCGCTTCTGCTTTGGAAATTGGTGGCTTCGTTTTCTCGTGGTAGTGGAAAAAGTGGTAGGTGCCGTTACATCCGGAGCTCCCGCGAACCCACTTGACTGTCACGACGACCTGTTCTAACCACTCTACTGCCGGTTTGTTTTTCACGCAGTGGTAGGGGATGGTTGTAATCACCTGATTTTTATTCCCGCCTCGATCAACATCGCACGCAAACTGCACCAGCACCACCCCAACTCCGTCGAGTTCGTGCCAGTTGCTGTCGCAAAGTACCGCATCTTTTTTATCGTGCAAGGAGCAACTACCCAAACTTTTTGCACCACAGTGAAGTCGAGAAGAAGAGAAGTTCTTGTAGACGAAATGGTCCTGCTTACTAGTATCATCAGCTTGACGGACAACTACATCGACATTGCTGGGTTTGGTTTCGTGTGAACTCATTTTTTCGAGGTTCGTTTTATTATTTCCACTGCCCAAGTGATTTGTACTGCTGGACGACGCGGAAGAAGATGATTTTTTACTACCACCACTGCCAGAGCCTCCAATGCCAGAATTGCTCGCCGGTTGTGTTTATGCATTGCAAATATGTTGTCTGCTCCCGGGTCTGGAAAGTCAAAGCTCGAACGTGTAATCAAATCTGCATTGCATGTAATATGCGTGGTCACAAATCCTCGCTGTCCTTCAAAATTTCGCATCACAAAGCAGACCCAGATCGATATTTGCAATCTGCATACACTCTCGCTGGCTCGCAGGCTCTCCTGCTTCGCCCACTTCACCTGCTCTTCCTCCGACATTTGGGCGAGCTTGGCTTGCTCGCGGCTCTGCTGCAGCGCCCACTTTACCTGGTCTTGCTCCGACATTTGGTCGACCTCCTCCTCTGTCAAGAACTCGGCACCACTGCTTTGCAGCTGTTGCCCCTTCTCGTAGCTTTTATGCAGTAGTGAAAATGAATTTCTATCTATTCCCGCACACGTACAACGTACAGCAAGATGAACTGTCGCCACCTCATAACAAGGCTGAAAAAAGGTAGGAGCGGAAAGAACGCTCTTGCTTGCCTGCAGTAGAGATGTTGCCATTTGCAGTTCAGTACGTCTACGGGATACTAGATTTAGTATTCCTGTCGTGGATACTACTTTATTTTGTCCCCGGTCGCTGCACTTGTTCCGACACTAGTAGCTCGCTTTTGCTTTTTGTTTCTGCTGTCGTTGTCAGCATCGTTTTGCTCCGCCTGCATTGATAAAACGTTGTTGGAAGTGGAAGTACCAGAGGAGGTCGCGGAGGAAGATGAAGCGGCCGGTCCTGGGTTATTATTCTTCCGTTTCATAGTCGTTTTTCCTCGTGTGTTGTTCTTTTCCACGAGACCCATCTCAACGTTCTCAGCAGACTTCGCCCGACCACGCGCAGATGATACTGCTGCTGGTGCGCCAGAAGACGACGATGCGGCGACGGCGGTCGTATTGGGGATGTTGACTTCTTGCTGAGTACTATCTACTTCATGCCGTTCGTTGCTCGTTTTGATGCTCTATCAAATGTAAAAATGTCTGGGTCTGGAAGAATGCAAGTTTGTCATGCTTGTCTGGCATGACTCTTAAATCTGTCATGCACATTACCAAAGAGCCCCACTTTTCTGTCATGCAGAAACGTAGTTTGTCATGCAGAATAGGCAACACCTAGAAGCTCAGAAACTTGTCATGCTGAGCCAGCAAGTGTGGCCTCCTCATGATATGCCACACAGCATCACAAGTTTCCAGACCCAGACATTTTTACACTTGATATGCTAGTACTGGCCCCTGCTCTTTGTCCTCCTCTCTTAGCAGGTTGTCCCGTAGAGCTACTGTTGCTGCTGCTTCGGTTATTGTTTTTCGCGTTACCTCCTACTGGTGGTGCTGCTGGTGCTGCTTTAGCAGAACTAGACGCGGAGCTTGCAGCGGGCTTCTTTTTCCCATTTGTCGTGGTGGAACGCACCTGGTTCTTGTTCCGCTTGTTGTTGTTATTAGTTTTCTTGTCCGGCGGCATGACTTGTTTTCGTTGAGACGAAGAATGCAAGAAAGAAGTCTTATTTTCCGCAAGTAGAAGAATTCTTTGTCCACCTACTACTTGTTTCTTGGCAAGCACAAGTACAAAAGATTTCTTCTATGGTGGTCTAAGTATAGTGAGGGTGCAGTGCTATTAAACAGGTTCAGCAACGACCAGGAGCAGGAAGCCCACAAATAAGAAAGCTAAAGCACACGACCCGAAGAAAGAAGACGGAATTTTACATTGTAGCAGTAGGTGAAGCAACAGCGGCATCATGAACTTTCTGAAGCAACAAGCAGTAAGATTTCTTTGGGCGGAAGAACCGATTTGGCTTGATCATTTTGGGTCCCAACACGGAAGCACTCGCTCGGATTTGGGTAAATAGAGTGAATGTTTTGGAGGTCTGCTCATCTCTCGTCATTTACTCGGCGGTGTGGTCGTCCACAGGAACAACGAGATGAACACAAGTATTACTACTTACTCCCCGAGGGTTGATGTCACGTGTGCCCTACTTAAGGAGCCCCCTAGCTGCGGGACAACATTAAAGCATTTAAACTAGAGTGCAGCTTGTCACACTGAGTTTTTTTTTCAACAAGTCGTTGCAGCCTGAGACAAAAAACATGTTGTCATGATGTCGTGTGTGAAAGTGTATCGTGTGTTGTTTCCTCGGAGTCACGTTTTTTTTCCTTTTGTTTCTCCTGATATGTCGGTGCTGAGCCAAGAAAAAGGAAAAGTTTTTTCCGACTGTTGTGCGTTTGCTTCATGGCACAAATCAACGCGCAAGTAAGCTAGTGTAGCTTGCTGTCGAAAGAATTCACTTGGTAGAGATCTAGATGCCTTTTTATGAGCTAGAGTTTGTATTTGAATACAGCAACTATCCTAATCACAGAATAATATGCACTCTCTTTTCTCATAAGTACTATTCTAGTCCCTGATCCCCGTTGACGGCAGCATCGGCAAGGAGCACCTGTTGCATCTCGTAATGATGGATGGTAGCGTTGGCTGTTATCAACTGCAAATATCCAAATTCTGGGTCAGGAAAGACGTGAATATGCTATAAACAAGTAGAGTACGCAGGCTAAGCATGACAGATTTTTGAAGGGTTCCGTGCAAAATACTGCGCATGAGAAACTGCGTTTTTGCATGACAAGGAGTCAGCGCGAATGCTATTCCACAGCACGCATTTCGAGACAAGCTGGGAGTATGGAAGTTTTAGTTTAGCACTACATACCTGGTATATTATCTTCCAGACCCAGATCGATATTTGCAGTGGGTATCTCTATCTGTCGAGAATTCCTCATCTTCGTTTCCGCCTGGACGAAAAGGTCGCTGATTGTTTCCAGGAATATCATATCAACTGTAAAAATGTCTGGGTCTGGAAGAATCCAACTTGTCATGCTGATTTTGGATTCTAAAAGCATCTGTATTGCATGAGCAGCAAAGAGAGTCCAAGTTTTGCTACACGGAAAGAGCATTTGTCATGCGGTATAGGCATCAGGAAGCCCTCACAAAATCTGTGATGCTAGGGCATGCATCACAGACATCAGGAGTCCTGCAAAATGTGCATGACAAACCTGGCAATCTTCCAGACCCAGACATTTTTACAGTTGATATATCAACCTCGTGTTGTTGTTGTTCCATTTCCGCGTCTCCGTCATCCTCCGGCGGCAACAGGAGTGGACCAGCATTGTTCCCATTATTCCGCCGGAACGGTGTGCTGCCCGCCAGCATCGTGTTGAAAGTAAGACCCGGCGTGCTACTGGCCCTGCTGTGGAGGTCCTCGTCGTTGAAAGTAGAGGTAGTAGCTGCAGCTGTGTTCTTCATCTTCTTTCCCTGCATTGTACTAGTGCCTTTGATGTGGTTCTTTCTCTGTAGTACCGAGCGCTGCTGGTTGTAGTTCTGACGCGAGGAACTGCTGCCCTGAGTAGTTTTTGCGCGAAGGGCAAGAGAACTCAGTTTCTGCTGGCGGAGGTCGAGGCTGAAGAGTCGGTCTTTGTCCACTGCGACTTGCACCCGCAGTTGTTCCCGCAGACCCACAGCGTCGAATTTTCGGAGTTCGTCCCTCCACGCGTGTAGCTTCTGCACCGTCGTATCCCTGAGCACCACGAACTTCTGGACACTCTCGAGCGGAACCTGCGACAGCTCTACCTCGTGCTGCAGAAACTTCGCTACTTTCTCGTCGGTCTCGCGTTTCTATCGAATGCAAATATGTCTGGGTCTCGAAAAGTGGAAATTGTAATGCGTGTCCTGCATTCCTGGAAAATCTGTGTTGCGTGAGCAGCAGAAGAGCCGCTTCCTTTGTCATGTAAAAACGGAGTTTGTAATGCGTGCTAGACATCAGAAAGCGTTTCAAAAACTTGTCATGCTTGGCTGCCATGGCAGGCGTTGCAATCAGCAGCAAATCAGCATCACAGGTTTTCAGACCCAGACACATTTACATTTGATAGCTTAGCGACGTCCGCGTCGTAGTCCAGGAGTGCGATGCGTGACGCTACGCTCGTCTCACGGTCCAGGATCCGTTCCTCTTTTGCGTCGATTGCGGGCGGCGCTGGTCGCGGAGCCAGCCAATCCGTGATCAGCCCGTGAATCTCGGCCGGCAGTCGTTTCTGGAGGACATTGTCGAGGATATGATCGACGTGCTTCTCCACTTGTTTCCGCCAGTTGTGCTTGCTCTTTACCGAGTTGACGCGCCACGTTTTCTATCCAGTGCAAAAATGTCTGGGTCTGGAAGATTTCTAGATTTGTGATGCATATTTTCCATGACCCATGATGTCTGTGATGCATGCCGTAGCATCACTGCTTTTTGGCGCGCTTCCTCATGCCTATTCCACACGACAATCAAATGCCATCTCCGCAGAGCACGAAGTCTACCCCTCTTCCTGGTCATGCAATGCAGACCCTTTTCGAATCCAAAGACAACGCCACAAGTTTAGAATCTTCCAGACCCAGACACTTTCGCACCTGATAGCTTCAGATAATTGCGGGCGTTCAGGTCAATCACAGCAGAACCCTGGACGAAGATGCGCACGCACTGCTCATGTAGCTCCTCACAGTATTGCAAGGAAAAATCCCCCCGCCTTATATCGGACAGGAGATTTGTGATGCTGGATTTGCGTACGCAAGTCGCTTTGTATTGCTAGAAGATCAAGGGACGCAGCTGCGTCCTTTTTTGCAGCCAATTTGTGACGCTTTTTCCCACTTCCAGTCGCCTCCTGTCATGCTGAAGACGCAAGGTCTCCTCACACCTGCCAGCACTACGGCCCGCATCTTTTCCCTTCTAGCATGACAGCACGACTTTTGGCCACGAACCAGCATTGCAGGCGTCCAGCTGATAGAGTATGGGGCGGGGGGGTTTTTCACTTTGATACGCAGGCCTCCGCCAGCTTCGCCAGCTCGTCGGCCGCGAATCGGAGGCCGTTGAGGAGAACAATGACAGCGGCAGGGCTTTTTCGTGACTTGGTTGGCAAAATCAAATGCAAAAATGTCTGGGTCTGGGACAGAGCAGCTTGTCATGCTAAATCTCAATCATGCAAAAATCTGTGTTGCATGATATACCAGAAGCTGTCGACTTTTGACCTAGTCGAGAGGCAGGTTTTCATGCAGGATAGGCATGATAGAACCGTCACAGAATCTGCCATTCTATGTTCTACATAACACACACCATGGGTCATGGAAAACCTACATGACAAACCTACCAATTTTCCAGACCCAGACATTTTTGCATTTGATATTGAGAGAACTCCGCGCCGTGGCCGCGAGGACGTCGTACCCCTTGACCGCGTCTTGCGCGGATTTTTCGAACAACCGAAATTTGTTAGCCAGGGCGTCTTATGAAGTGTAAAAATGTCTGGGTCTGGAAGAATGCAAGTCTGTCATGCTTGTCTGGCATGGCTCGGAAATCTGTGATGCATAGGCACGAAAAAGCCTTCTTACCTGTCACGCAAAAACGCAGTTTTCCATGCGAAATACGTAAGACATGGCCGCCAAAAAATTTGTCATGCATAGCTGCGTATTGCAGTGCGTCTATCATTCATTTTTAGGATTACAGGTTTCCAGACCCAGACATTTTTACAGTTGATACGTCTCCGGGTTCTCCGGGCTCTCGGGTTGGGGGAAAGGGCTCCGCTGGCTGTGTACTATGGCGCCCGGCAGCGACGAGGGTCAGGAGGTGCTGCATCCTCTTCACCATTTCCTCCCCCTTTTCCTCTCCCACTACACGAAGGGCTCGATTCTTCTCACGCAATATGCAAGAAAAAAAAGTGTATAAAGTGGAAGTCTGTGACGCAGAAAATGCAAAACAGTGACGCTTGATGTCATACTCCACATGCGTCATAAACTCGTTTCCTACGTGTCTGTTTTCCCGTGCTATCTGCGCATGACAAGTTTTTCTTGTCAGGGAAGACAAACTTGTGATGCTGTTTTCCCAAAAGACCTACACTATCACGGTTTTTTTCTTTGATACACAAGTCTTCCAGCTCGTTGCGCAACCCGCAGTAGGCGGAGTTTTTGTATCGCGGGGAAAAATCCCTCTTCCCCATATCGAAAAGGTACGTCGCAGAAAATTTGCAATGCTGATTTGCGACCACAAATCATCTCTGTCTTGCAAGAAGGCAACTTTTCCACAGGCTCTGCCGCATTATGCAGGCGGTTTGTGAAGATGCTGTTTGGCCTACCGCGCAGATTTTTCTCATGCTAAGCGACTAAGTAGGCCAAACCCTCTCTACTCAGGCTTGATGTGGGCCTGCAGTCCTCTTCAGTAAGACAAATCTGATTTGTGTACGGAAATCCAGCATCACAGACTTGGTTTCGATATGTTGGGGAGGAGGATTTTTCTTTTTGATATTTTGCGGTCGGGGTTCAGGTCCTCACGGACTTTTCGCAACCTCAGTCCCCGCAAATTCAGTTCGTGTCGCTGCTTCAGGAAATCATCCAGGATCCTTTTCTCCGCGGAGAGCTTGGCCTGAACCTTCTTCACAAACTCAACCGTGTTTTCCTCGTTCTCCCCTAGTTCCTCGGGTGCTGGCGTGTAGGCCGGTTCTTGCAGGAGCACCGGTCGTCCTCGTTTGGAGAGTCCGCATTCGGACGTTGACAAAACATCTGGAGTTTTTTTACCTTCTGTGAACAATACAGCCGCTGGAGGAGCCGGAGTTGTGCCACGACCCGCTTGTTCAACATTTTCTTCTATCAAATGTAAAAGTGTCTGGGTCTGGAAACTTGTGATGCTGGGTGGCGTCTCATGATGAGGCCACAAGTGCTGGCTCAGCATGACAAGTTTCTGAGCTTCTAGGTGTTGCCTGTTCTGCATGACAAACTGCATTCCTGCATCACAGAAAAGTGGAGCTATTGGGTAACGTGCATGACAGATTTAAGAGTCATGCCAGACAAGCATGACACACATGCTTTCTTCCAGACCCAGACATTTTTGCATTTCATATCTTCCCCATCAGAAACGGGTCGAGAACCACCCTCACATTCTGGATCGAGAACCTCCACACTGCTGGAAGAAACAGAAGCATCGCAAGAAAAAACTGTTTCACTGTGAACCTGTGATGCAGCAGAGAACGAAGCGCCAAAGTGTTCGTCCTGCTTCTACACCTGCAACACAATGGCTTTTTAGTCATGTTTTCATCCCTTGGGGAACGCGCATGGCAAATTTTCTGTGTCATGTGTTGCAAACTTGTGACGCAGATCTTGCAATAGATCCATCACAGTGAAAAAGTTTTTTCATGGGATAAGAAATGCTGGACCGCGGTCGTTCATCTCGAAGCCAGAAGGTGGAAAATGCAGAAGGCAGAGGTTATCAAATGTAAAAACGTGTGGGTCTCGAAACTGAATGATAGACGCACTGCAGTACGCAGCTATGCATGACAAATTTTTTGGTTGCCATGTCTTACGTAGTCCGCATGGCACACTGCGTTTTTGCATGACAGGTAAGAGGGGTTTTTCGTGCCTATGCAACACAGATTCTCGAATCACGCCAGACAAGCATGACAAACTTGCATTCTTCCAGACCCAGACATTTTTACAGTTGATAGAGGCGCAAAAGCAGAAGGCGGAGGGCACAAGTGTCGCTATTATGCACGGTGCAAATAACCTTCTATCGTACCAGAGTCGTCGTGGAAAAAAATTTTTATTGCATTTTGTTTCAATTTTTTCAATAAAGGGAAATAAAGTTAAATGGATTATTTGCATGATATGCTGCCTCAAGCAGGAATTTCTACTAGTAGAGTAGTTGTCACGACAGTAGTACTAGCTCTAATTTACTATGCAACGAAATGCGCGATAGTACAGGTACAACTTTTGATGCACAGGTCATACTGCAAGTCTCCATTGCTGTTCGGGCGGGAAAGTAGCCGCGGCCGAAGAAGTATCAAATGTAAAAATGTCTGGGTCTGGAAGAGTGCATGTTTGTCATGCTTGTCTGGCATGACTCTCAAATCTGTCATGCACGTTACCCAAGAGCGCCACTTTTGTGCCATTCAGAAACGCAGCTTGTCATGCAGAATAGGCAACACCTAGAAGCTCAGAAACTTGCCATGCTGAGCCAGCACTTGTGGCCTCCTCATGATACGCCACCCAGCATCACAAGTTTCCAGACCCAGACACTTTTGCATTTGATAAGAAGAGGAAGCAGGGTTAACAGCAGATGTAGTTGCCAGGGAATGGTAGTTCTGCTTCTTACTGGTACTGCCGACCTTAGTGTCGTCTTTGGGTAGTAGGACGGTTTTTTTGTCGTTATTTGCCGGGTAGTTGTTGTGAGACCGTTTCTTGGTAGGAAGACGCTTGTTGGGAGGTAGTAAGACGGTTTTTTTGTCGTTCTTCTTCTTTTTGTTGATTTCAAAAAGCGCACCAGTATTGGAAGACCAGGGCGTTTTTCGGACGGCGCCACTCGAGGAAGCAGCGGCTTTAATCGGGGAAAAGCGTATTTTCTGTTTACTATTACCGGCGCCAGAATTTTTGCCCGTACTAGCAGAGGAAGAGCCATGGTTTGCGACTCCGTTCCTCTGTGCAGAAGATGAGGTCGCGGCAGGTCCGGACTTCTTGTTCCGCTTGGCGCTGGAAGAAGGAGGGGTGAAGCCCGGGTTGTTCTTCGCCAACTTCCCGCTCTTCTCGGTGTTCTTCTTGTTTTCAGAATTGACAGAGGAAAAACGGGAGAAGGGCTGCTGTTTCGCATCACCGGAACTCGCGCTAGCACTCTCCTGCTGGATCATCGCATGGCTGGATAAAAACACGGACTTGGACGACAACGAACGGTCTTGCCTCTTCGACACTGTTGGCGCGCCGTCAACATTCTTGGCACAAGTAGACTTCCGCCCCTGCTCTTCTTGTTGTGTATTGCAAACGCGTCTGGGAGGTCCTACGCGTTTACTTTTACTTCCAGCGAGGGCGGAAGACGAAGAGGATGGCAATCCCGCGTTTATTCCTGGTCCGTGGCCAAACAGCTGTGGATGTATTTTTTGTTTTTCGTTGCACTTTTCTTTATACTGATACTGAAAAAGATGATCCGCATGATACTGTCTGGACTGCAAAACACTCGTCTCTAGCATGACAAACATCAAATGCAGCACAGACTGATGCACAAAAGTCAAAAACTATACCTCGACCTCCCTGTTCATTTTCTGCTTCTCCTTCTGCAGCCGGTACTTCTCAAAAACCGCGATCTTGTTTGACGAATTTTTCGACTGTAGTTGTATTTCGCGGTTGATTGGGCTTAAACAAGCATCGGATGACAATAAATCACCCCTGTTTACTACTGCCGGAGCAGGACGTGGACGTCCCGCAACTGCCATTCCGTTTTCCCCTTCGTCTCGAGCATTCAGCTTATTCTCTCTGCCGACCTTAGTGTCGTCTTTGGGTAGCAGGACGGTTTTTTTGTCGTTCTTCTTCTTTTTGTTGCTTCCAAAAAACGCACCAGGGGGCGTTTTTGGATACCGTTTGCCTGGATACATCTTTATCACAGGAAAAAGTGTTAACGTTAACGGAATTTGTGATGCAATACAGCATCACAAAACGTGCCCAAATTTGTAATGCATAACATGCATGCTGGGCAAAATTTGTCATGCTCATTTGCAATCCATGAAAACCGTTAACGTTAACACTTTTTTGTTTCATAATCTTCAGGAAAGAACCAGAATCCCCTCTCGAGAATGTTAATGTTAATCGAAGATCTCCTTGCTGTCACACTTCATCGGAGCAGGAGCACACAGCTCATCGGATCGTAAATGTTGTGAAGGACCACGTGAAGAGGAACATCAAAGCTTGTATGATATCTTTTTGGAACAACAAAATCAAAGCTTGTATGAGAAGATCTCTTCGGAACAACAACAACATCACCAACTACATGTTGACGTCGAGCTGGGTCGTGGCGGACCATAATATAGCGGTAGAATGTAAGTCATGTCCTGGCCTCGTCACTAGAAGGCAACAAGTTTATTGGCACCGGGACGACGACGAGAGGGTGAAGAACACAGTATTAAATCGTCTTTGAAGAAGCTGATGATGAAAAGCAGCCCTTGTTGTAAAAATCAGTGGGCATCAAGAATATTTTTATGTACCGGGACGACCACCACGCTGGGAACATCAAAGCAAGAGATCTGCTCCTCGATTTGTCTCTACTTCTGCCCTTGCTGTGGCTTGGACACTGATGGGAAAAAAGTTCTTGCTGTAGTCCTATTCAACATTTTCAGGTCCCTGTACTACTGCAAAACCGGTAAACAGAACCGCTTGTCCTGTCAGTCTCGAACGAATCTTCGAGCTGTGACATCAAGGGAAGGCTTTGCGTACAGGAGAGTAGAAAACGTCTGGTACACATAAACACCCTGGGCGGGGGTTGTGTTGAAAAATGCGAAACTCTTCTACGTCAAAAATCCATTCATCTACGAGCATGTTGTTCTTGTAGTATTCATACAGCACTACAACTAGTACCCTGCCAGCATTCCGAAATGGATACATATGCTGTGCCAGTTTTCATAAACAGTTCAGACATCGTACACGATGGCAAGCAGCGGTGGTATGTGATATGGCGCTTTTGCTACGCGCACTCGATTTGTTCATATATGTTTTTTCTACTGTATGTATCTGTATGCGTATGGAGAGCGAGAACAACCTGAAACGTGTATTTAGTGCCTTTTATGTAGTTTCGATATTATATTTTTGAAAACGACGCTGGGCCTAGTGCCACTCTTGACGTGAATAAAAATCTAACTTTATTTGCTGCGGAAGAGATTGTTGTAGCTCCCAATGTGTTGACGAGCAGCAGGAGCTTCGTGATACCGTTTCGAGAAATTTTCGAAAATTGTGAAGGAGCAGCGTTGTCGCATTTTTGCGGCATAGCTTGTCTCGTTCTGATAAAAGTAAACCACTGTTAATATTGGGGCGAGAGTTTTTAGAATGTGCTTTTCTATTGTTCAAAGAGATGAATTTAACAACCTACGGCATTTTTGCGATTCACGTGATATTAGGCATTTGGCAGAAAATCAATTCTTTCTGCCACTAAAAATGCCAACACTCAGTTACGTCTTCAATTTGTTTAGCAAAAACCACTCAGAAGTCAAGTCTTTATATCGTTGCTCGCAGCATCAAAATTTCTAAGTGAGCTTTTTGTAGTCCTTGATAAGCTCGTCGAACTACCCTCAAAAACGTATACAACCATTCGCCGGGTCCTTCGGCCGAGAAACGTATACAACCGTTCGCAGAGGGCCGAGAAACGGCCCTCTTTACTGAAGAGGGGCCGCGAGCAAAAGAACTCGCGCTCGAGCCCCTGCGTTTTCTGTGGGGCGAGCCATCTATTGTTCGCCAGTTTCATCCGGCTGAAAGGAATAATAGCCAAAATCACTATCCTGAGTAAAAACATCCCCACACCAGAGTCAAGATGGGGATTTCGCAACACAAACCTAGAACTTTTGGGGGTCACGCATCACAAGTTGCAGTCCGTAGTGTAGTGCAGGTTCGCAAGGCAAGCTGCATCAGAAATCCATCTGCTCATCCTGTTTACAGCATTACAAATTCCAAAACACGACTAAAAATGCCTCTCCTGGCGATGCGCATTACAAATGTTCCTGTGCTTGCAAATCTGCATGACAACTCTGGTGTGGGGACGTTTTTACTCAGGATAATCACCGTAGGGTCCAGACTCTCCATGGTAATGACCAAGCGCAACTAGATATGCAAGAAAAAAAGTGTGTATAGTGTAACTCTGTCATGCAGAACATGCAACAGAGTTACACCTGTCATGCCAGACAAGCATGAAGTCCTCTTTTTATTTGTGTTTTCCCTTACAAACCACGCATGAGAGGTTTTCTCTGTCATGCAGAACAAATTTGTGATGCTGTTCCTCCAAGAAAGTTACACTTACACACTTTTTTTCCTGGATACTAGATGGTCCGTGAGCAACGAGCTGCCCGGCGAATCAGTTACATACCGGCTAGCGCTCTCTTCAGAGTACAAATCATCCTGTTGGCCCAGCGAATCAGTAGCGCTCTGTTCATCGTACAAATCCTTCCGTTGGCCACCGTCGTACATACTCTGTCCTCTGGGTTGTTGTGTCATCTTATCCCGAGCAGCCCCTCGCTGCCACACTCCTGGCGGCTTGCTTCTCCCGCGCGAGGGCGACCGGGCGCTCTGTTCAGGGTACGAACCTTTCCGTTGGTCACCGTCGTACATACTGTGTCCTCTGGGTTGTTGTGTCATCTCATCCCGATTTTTATCCCGTCGCAGCCACACCCCTGGCGGCTTGCTTGTCCCGCGCGAAGGTTGCGACCGGTTTCTCTTTCCTCGCAAGAGCTGCTTAGTAGGATTTTTCTGCCCTTGTTCCAGAACGATAGCACTGTCTTTCCCGGGAGCAGCAGCCGCTTGCACCATGCCTCCGTCGAAAGAGGGCGGCTGCGCATGCTGCGGCGAGTCAGGACGAGACCCTGGCGGCGACGGGCCTCGTGGGGGGCGAGCCACGTTGAAAGATCCGGCGTCGGGATGGTGTGTGCTCGGTCCAGCTATGTTCGCAAAATCATAACTAAATTCGCCAGAATAAAACTCCTCTCCCGGATGAAGCAGTGATCCAGCTTCTGCTCCAGCTCTTTTCTGCGGCGGCACATATAGTGGAGGCTGCTTCGTCCCTGTTGCTGCTCGTCCTCCCGGACTGGTTTCTTCAGCAGGTGCATTTTTTACAGAACCCGCCCCCGCTTGCCCTTCCACCTTTCCGGGGCGTAACGGCCCACCGTCCGCTCTCTTTGCAGGAGGGGGGACCACGCTTGTGGTCCTGCGGGCGGGTTGCTGGTCGTGCCTATGGGCTGCCCGAGAGGTTGACTTTTCGCGCGGCCGCTGAGAAGTCGTGTGTTGTTCCCTAGCCGCCAGCATCTTCTCGTGGGCCGCCTGCGAAAACCTAGGCTCCCCTGAAGCACGTCGTAACGCCGAGCGAAACAGGTCCTGCGAGGATTGCGCGTGGGTCGTGGTGGTGGTCTCAGCACGACTACACAGTTCTTGATCACCAAAAATGTTATTTGTCTCGTGCTCCGCCTCCGGCGCAGAAACAATCTCCTTTGCTGCCACTGTGTTCACGGCGCCCGACGCAGTGCTTGCAGTGTTACAGTCTGGGAAGACCGCCGGGCCCCCTCCTGCCTGTGGCGTAGTGGGAGTGGCACCACTCGTCCCTGTAGTATCTGCAGGGCCGTGTAGTTGTCCGGGAGGAGGTGCTGGCACGGAGGTGTAAGTAGCGCAGGGGCTGCACCAAGCCCACGTGTAGTTGTTCGGCATAGAGTTGCTGCCATCATTTTTTCCCGGGTCGTTGTACGGAGCTGCTGGTGCGGCCCACACGAAAGGACAAGGGGATACAACTAACGGGGATGGCTGTGCCTGTCCCGGAGAGCAGTGAAGAGCCATTGCCGGATTATGATGCGGCATCACCTGCCACATTCCGCCCGCTTGTGGCCACGGAGGACTGTAGAACTGCACATTTGCTGCACTGCTGCCGGGGCAATCTCCACCTGATACAGTAGTAGAAGTCGCGCCACAAGAACTCATCGTGACGTCAGCCGAAGAACGGGGTTCTCGGTGCGCAGAGTGGTCGTGTGTTGACCTCGATATCGATTCGTCACTATACCCATCTTTAGTGGTGGTCGAAGAGGGAGCTGCCACTGCAGCCGGCGACTTTGGCGTTTGCTGTGCGGCAGTGTTTTGATGTCCAGCAGGAGGTGCTGGCACTCCAGGACTGCTGGACGGGCAGGAGCCACGCTTTAGTAGTCCTACGCCTGCCGCGTCGACCACACGAGCGCTGCCTTGTTGCTCGAGCAGTCTCTGCTGCTCATGCAGTCGCTGCTGTTCCTGCAGCAATAGTTGTTTTTTCTGCTTTTGTTGTTCCAACAACATGCTGTGCGCTCGCCTTTTCATTTCGTCGTTGTGTGGACAGTTTTCCGCAATCCGGCATAGCTGTATGGAAGTGTCAGAGGCGAAATTTACAAAATCGAAAAATTTGTGATGCACAAAATCGATGTCAGTTGGAGCCTCAGTTTCCATGTGGCGCATGACAAATTTCGGAAGTACCCAAATCCAGTCTGTCATGCTGTTTGGGCAAAGAAGACTCCTCCTGTAATGCTACTCTGGCAGCACTACATTGCATACCCCTAAACGGGCTTACAATCGGTCTCATTTGCCTGCTCCCCAATACAGGCCTTCAGTGCCGTACATTTTATGCATCGCAAATTTTTCGCTTTTGTCGATTTCGATCCTGACACATCCATAAGCTGACCGGTCTTTGTATCCAGATCACACATGACCACGGCCCACCCGAGTTATGCATTGCAAAGAGGTCTGGGTCTGGAAGAATACAAACTTGTGATGCGCATTCCAGAACACAGAAAAATCTCCCATGTATAGGCAGCAAAAGTTGCCCACTTTCTGTCACCAAAATGGGGGATCTGTCATGCGGATTCGGCATTGCGGAAGCTTCTCGAAACCTGTGATGCTAGAGCTTCCGTGCCAGACCTTCTTTGTCATGCAAAAACAGCCTGACTCTTCCAGACTGACCCAGCCATTTTTACATTTGATACGAGTTCTTGGCACGCAACGTCATTCGGCGGCGTAACACCATCCGATTTCTGGAGGTGAAGCTTGCCGTCCGGGCCCAGGACGGCGTAGTGACCGGGCGAGTACCACACGACTTCACCTCCTGGGAGGACCGCACCTTTTTCGGTTCTTTCTCCTGGACACAAGCCGGGGGAGGAGCTCCCGGGGTGGACCACTTGCCCCGGTTGCGGCGGCGATACGGGAAGGTGCTGCTCCAGGTGGATCTGCTGTTGCTGGGGTTGCTGCTGCTGCTGCTGTTCCTGCTGCACCATCGATCCTCGTGTTTCCTGCGCAGGAGCCGGAGCACCAGAGGCCGTTTGCTTGTCGTCCCGCTGCGTATTGAAACAAGAACCTGGCAAGAACTCAGCTGTTGGACGACGACAAGCGGGGTCGATCTTCTCCTCTTCGTTTTCTTTTGTGCGTTTCATAAAAAGTTTCGTGTTCCGCTCGAACCGAGAAAAGGCTCCGCGAGGACGCGAACACGTTGCTGGAGTAGGCGCAGTTGTTGCTGCATCTTCACCTCCCTCGAGGACACCACGTCCTTGTGCTCCTCCTGCGCAGCAAGGGCATTCTCCGTTGGTCCCGGTCTTGTTGTTCTCCGCAAACCCGGTGGTGCGCAGGGCATGGGCGTCAAGGACATTGTGCGAGATGAGGCCACTGATGTTCAGCTTCAGGGCGAAAAAAACAACTGCACACGTGGTGGTCGCCGACCAGGGTAGCAGGTTTAGGACCATCGTGCGGGCGGGCACAACGCTCGGCCTCCGGTAGTAGTTCATCTTGCTGTTCATCTTTTCGCGAGGGAATAGAGAACTTTTCGTCAGCACTTTCTTGCGTCGTTCTCAGAAAGCGGCGAGACAATTCCAGGTTACTTTCTGATCTGGATAAATGCGCTTCGCGACTTGCTGTTCCGAGTACGGGGGAATTCCGAGTACTACTATTATGTATGCCGGGTGTAGAGCTGGCTGTGATAAAATCTTTTGAATGTATGAAGGATGTGACACGACCAGTGCCAGGAACGATGGCCGCTTTGGCTTTACTTAAGTGGCTGCTCGTGTAAGCTGCTTTTCCGAGTGGTTGGTAGTGACCTGTAAATTGTAAAAAACTATATGGTGTAATAAAATTTGGAACAAAAATAGATTTTTGTCTACACGTGTAGTAGTTCTGGTTCGTCTTGGCGTAGTTCTTGTGGATAATTTATCCTCAAATCAAACCGGAGCGAAGACACGCTGTTCACTCGCTTCTTCGTCGGTATAATCACTGGCCGTGGAGTTCGTGTGGAAGAAAGATTTCAAAATTACGTATTAAATAAAGTGAATTCGGGACTAGTATTCGGATCTACTTCAGGATCGATATAATTACGTCGCGGTAGATGAACACTTGTGAAAGAGCTGGTGTGAAAAATGTGTTCGTGATTTTGTTGTATGAACTCGGTCTGACGGATGCAGTGAAAAATGTTTTATAGCGTATAATTCTTGTCCATGTCGTGATCATCGAGCAAAAACAACTTTTCTGGAAAGATATGAGTCCTGGGTCTTCTTGCTGTCGTGCCAGCACTGTTATTTTCGGGACCCTCGCCTGCTCCTACACCGGGCGGAAACAGCCGCCCAAGCAGTCTAAAATCTGCCATGCCTGTATTGGAGCGCACCCGCGGGTGCGCTCCACTGTGGACCCAGTTATTTTCGGGACCCTCGCTGGCTCCTACATCGGGCGGAAACAGCCGCCCAAGCAGTCTAAAATCTGCCATGCCTGTATTGGAGCTCCAATGTAGACCCAGTTATTTTCGGGACCCTCGCTGGCTCCTACAACGGGCGGAGCCAGCATCATCACGCTAGCAACAACGCCGAAAAATAGAAACTCAGGACGACGCTCTGATTCGTTATTTCGCACTCCTCGGAAAGATGAACGCACAAAAAACCCAGATTGCTCTAAAAGCATGATGACCAAATGAACACACGTTCAGCACTACTATAGACAGCTAAGATTCGCCGCAAATCCAAATCGCTCGGTCGGGGTGTGTGTTTATTCTTGTGCTATTTTGGCCTTGCTGTAGTCTCGCCGTGCAACACAAATATACGTGCAACTACACAAATTTTCCGTCAAAAGATATTGTGGTCTCTTATCATACGGATAGAATGTTGGTCTTGCCTCCCAAGGTGGGCGAGATTGGTTTTTTGCACGAACAATAACACTCCTCACCCCGTCGCAGCCGCAGGGAATGTTATTGAATCTGCGTGACTTACGATAAGATTAAGAGGGTATTAGTAGTACAAGGACCTTATGATCAATAAATTTTTGCAACATCTTCACGAGCAGTTCTAGATGGGGATGTAAAGTGTTGCGTTCGTATGAATATTGTCCATGTCCTCCACTTATCAACCGCAACAATGTCTGGGTCTGGAAGAGTCGGGACTTGTCATGCACATTTTGCATGACCCGTGAGGTCTCTGATGCTGGTGCTAGCATCACAGATTCTTTGAGAGCTTCTTGATGCAAATTGCGCATGAGAAATGCCCTCTCCGCGTGCCAAGAACTGACTCCTCTTGCTGCTCATGCAACACAGATATTTTTAGAATCCGCAGACAGCATTACAAGTTCCACTCTTCCAGACCCAGACATTTTTGCTATCCATACCACTCGTGTGATATCCCAGGCCCGTAGCGACTGCTTGAATTTTATCATTTGTAAAAACGTCCCCACACCAGAGTCAAGATGGGAAATCTGCTAGACAAATCAGCCAGCTTTGGTCATTTCGCATGACAAGTTTCTCCTCGTAGTGTAATCCTGTTTAGGTAGTTCAGCAGCATCACAGATCTAGTATATCATGCAGATTATAGCATCACAAATTCCAAAACACGACTAGAAAATGCCTCTCATGGCGCTACGCATGACAAACTTTTTTGGCATGCAGATTTGCATGACAACTCTGGTGTGGGGACGTTTTTACTCAGGATAAATTTTGCCGCCTGGAAAAACATGCTTGCCATGTTCCTCACAGTGCTAACGTCCCACTTATCCATATCCTTTGTAAAAAAAACGTCCCCGCCCCATAGTAATAGCCAAGATGGGAAATCTGCGTAGAAAAATCAACAAGCTTTGGCTGATGTTGCGCATGACAAGTTTGACCTCGTAGTGTACCTAATCCTCTTTAGCCAGTTCAGCAGCATCACAGATCTAGCATATCATGGTGATTGGGGCATTACAAATTCCAAAACTTCTACACGACTAGAAAATAAGAATGCTTCTCATGGGACTCCGCATGAGAAACTGAAACATTTTCCGCATGCGGATTTGCATGAAAACTCTGGGGTCAAATTCTGGGGTGGGGACGTTTTTGCAGAGGATAGTCCAGCGGCTGGTTAAATTCCCGGGCGGTCATAAACATCCCTGACATTATCGTGAGAAAAAACTGTTGCAGTTACACACTCTGACGCAACATCAGCAAGACAGACAATCTCTGTCATGCAGGAGATGCTTGCCAATGCCAGCTTCATTTCATTCGTCTTTTCCGTTATAGTCATCTGCGCATTACAAGTTTGCTTTGCCGTGCAGAGCAAGTTTGTGATGCTGAAATTCCAACAAATGGGTAACTGTTATAACTACACTTTTTTCCGGTGATAGACATGTCCGTCACATTACTGACGTTCCAGTCATTATCCCACGAAAAAAATGTTTCACTGTGGTGATCCTGCAAAATCTGCATCACGACAAGTTTGCTACGCATGACACTGAAAATCTGTCATGCGGGGTTCCTATCTACTTAAGGGAAAACACAGCTAGAAATCAATTGTCTTGCCTGTGTAGCATGACACACACTTCTGCGTGCGATCCATTTTCTGCATCACAAGTTCACAGTGAAACAGTTTTTTCTTGCGATAGTCATTCAAGGGCTGGTTGAAATTACTTATGCATTGCAAAAGCACCATTGCACTCGTATAATAAATGCAGTACAAATTTACTCGGCATGAGAAATAAAATTTGTAATGCGGATTTGCCTTAAGAAAAAGATTTGTAATGCATGACTGCAATCGCTACGAGTACGATACTTTTGCACAGGATATTACTCGCGCCAAAAAACATCCGGTCCATCGTTGTCACGCTGAAAATATGCATTGCGATTATGTCTGGGTCTGGAAGTAGATTCCGAGATTTGTCATGCAGTTTTTCCAAGCTTCCTCGAGTCTGGAATGCGGGGCCTAGCATCACAGGTTCTCTCTGCAGCCCCTCCGTGATGCCTATAATTCTGCATGAGAAATTCATAGCCTCTCTGCATGGCCAGAAGTGCGCACCTTTTGCCAGTCATGCAACACAGATCTTTGCGTGATCCGCAACTCGCATCACATCAATTTCGGATCCTTCCAGACACAGACATATTTGCAATCCATAGGAAACATCCCAATCTTGGATCGGCTTATTGAAGTTCACCGCACCGCTATCCAAGAAAAAAAGTGTGTTAGTGTAACTATCTTTGGCTGACAGCATCACAAATTTGCTCTACATGACTGAGTAAACCTGTCATGCGTGGCCTGTAAGGGAAAACACACATGAAGCGAGGACTTCATGGTTGTCCGGCATGACAGACGTGAGGCTGTTGCATGTTCTGCATTACAGAGTTACACTTACACAGTTTTTTTCTTGCATAACCGCTGAACATGCCAACCATGGTTTTCGCGCCACTGATATGCATCCCAAAAAATGTCTGGGTCTCCTGGAAGATTTGGAGAGTTTGTCATGCAAATTGTACATGGCCTTCGAAGATGCATTCTCTAGCATCACAGCTTTCGCAAAGGTTTGCTTAAAATCCCTGTTCTGCATGAGAAATGCCCTCTTCGAGTGGCAACAATCCGAGCGCTTTTTGCCTCTCGTGCAATACAGATTTTTGTGTGAAGATCGACAGCTGGCATCACAAATCCCATTCTTTCCAGACCCGGACATATTTGCAATGCATAACTGACGTCCCACTGGCTTATGTCCAGGTCGAAAAAGAAGGCGCGGGTAAATAAATTGGAAAAGTCTTCCACCTGCGACAGGTCCCAAATGCGGATGGGCCCGTGCCTTTTCTCGATCTCGAAAATTTCCCGGACCTGCTATCGTAAGGAAAAATCCCTTCACCCCATATCGAAACGGGATTTCTATATGCTGGATTTGTGTACACAAATGCGCTTTGTATTGCAGGAAGGCATTCCCTTGTCTTCTTGCACGACAAATGTGATTGGTGGTCACAAACCAGCAACACAAATTTTCGGAAACATACCTTTATTTCAGTATGGGGAGGGGAGATTTTTCCTCGCAATAGCTGCTGCTGATAGGAGAACTCGTCGTGGACACGGGTCGCCAGACTGTCCTGTTTGTACGGAGTATCAAAAGGAAAAATCCACCTCCCCATATCGAAAACGAAACTTCTGATGCTGTATTTGAGTACACAAGTGGACTTGTAATGCTAGAAGACCAAGGGCCGCAGTGGTGGCCTCAATGGGAGGCAATTTGTCATGCTGCTTCCCACTTCCAGCTGCCTCCTGTCATGCTGAAGATGCAAAGGTTTATTCCCACGCCACTCAGCACTACAGTGTCTACAGCTTTTCCCTTCTAGCATGACAAAGCTGATTTGTGACCACAAATCTGCATCACAGATTTCCGTTTTGTTATAATTGGTAGGAGGGATTTTTCGTCCTGATACGGGGTCAAAGCGGTTTCGAGGGCTTCGCGAGTGGGGATCGGGTCATAGAGGCGGACGAAGTAGCGGACAGAGAGAGGCGAGGAAAATAAATGTTGAGCTACAGCATTTTTTTGTAGTGTTGATCCACCCGTAGGCCGTCGTTTCTGGTCCTGCAGATGATCAGGGGTCCTCTGCCTCGATAGTGGTACTTTTTCCCGCTCAGCCTCACTACTGGTCGCGCTGGTCAGGTAAAAATTTATTTCGGAACCAGCATCCTCATCGTCCGCTCTACAAGAACCGTAGCTGTGTTTACTGTCCCATGCTGAGTAAAGATGTCCCCACACCCAAGTCAAGATGGGAAATCGGCTAGACAAATCAACAAGCTTTGGTTGTTTCGCATGACAAGTGTGCTCCTGTAGTGCAGTCCTGTTTAGCTAGTTCCGAAGCATCACAGATCTAGTATATCATGCTTATTCTAGCATTACAAATTCCAAAACACGACTAGAAAATGGATCTCATTGGGCTTCGCAAGAGAAACTTTTTTGGCATGCAGATCTGCATGACAACTCTGGGTCTGGGGTGGGGACGTTTTTACACAAAATATCTCCGTGCGCGCTGCTCGGAGAAGGTTCAGCTGCGTTTCTTGCGGAAGGATGCTGGTGGTGTTTATGGTTCTTTGCGACGTCTTCTCGTCTCCAGTCCTGCCATGGTCCACAGCCTGCTCAAAAGCTCGGAAAAAGTTCTCGTCTTTCCAACTCCCGGAAGACGGCAAGGCGTCCGTGTTTCCGATAACCGTTTCGCCGTCCTTCAGAAACAGAATAATGTTTTCCCAAAAGCTATCAAAAGAAAAAAGCGCGTGACAGTTACACATTTGTAGTCAATTCAGCAACACAAATTTCTCTGCATGATAATGCAGAAATCCTACGGGAAAACACCTATGAAACGACGCTCCTATGCATATCCGGCATGACAGAGCTTGTCTGTCTTGCTTGGCGTGCAACACAATGTCTGTGTAACTGTATTAACACTTTTTTCTTGCGATAAAAGCAGCGATGCCGTTTCGACGCGGTCCCGTTCTCGTCTAGCGTACTAGCAGGTGCAGCGTGAACTACCCGGCCAGCACTTCCTGCTCTGACCGCCGCCGCTACGGCTTTGCGTACTTCTTGTACCGTTGTGACCTTCGTCTCGAAAGTGTCTGCAACGGGCAGTGCCTCATCGGAAAGCGCGTTGCGAACTTTCAGGCGGAATGAAAACGGGTCTACGTTCTTTGACGGAGGCTGTTCGACATTCTTTTCTTCCAGTGCGGACTGCATCTATTCTTCCATGTGTTCAATATCTAAATATCCAAGTAGACCTATTTGAAGATCTAGGTGTGGCTTATTTTCAGGAGGGTGAGAACATCAACATATATTCTTTTCCCTTAGTCTGTCTAAGTACTACTTGCTTCCTGTGTGGGGTAAGTTTTTGACCAGCAAAGAAAAATCCTGTACTTACCACGACTACCGAATCATCTTCACAGCTATGTAACTACGCCTGACTGCCTCAAGGCTCGCTCGGGGGCATTTTCATACGGGCCCTCTTTCTAGTTTTCGTACTAGCGCATCAGGGGGACGGACGAGATCTGAGGGAAGGTAATGGGGGTAGCACACGTTTAAAGATACTAGTCCGCATTCTTATACCCAATATAACCAATATCATGAAACGACCAAATCCGAAGTTGAAATGTCGGACGGACAGGAGCTGCGGACTTTGAATCGACCTCTCAACCAAAAGTTGATTTTTTGCTGTTTCAAAGCCCTTTTCTCGCACTGTATAAAAAATGAGTCCAGATTTTGGCACGAGGTTTTCTACTCAGAAAAAAAACGCAACCGAGTTTTATTTGTAGTTCCCCCACCGCAAAACAAATGCCTAAACATCAACATAAAAGAACACACATGTAGTTCACCTTAGCACTGCACGACCAGCACAACAAGGCAGCACGGAGCTTGCGCTCAGAGCGGTTGAAGGTCAAACCGCCCGAACAGTCAGTCGCGGCGATTTTTGACGGATAGATTTTCTCCGAATATCGAATTGCAGCAGGAGCCCATCGAAGTGAAAGGATCGCACAAAAGAGGCAGAAAAGTATTTTAAGAAAATGAAGCTTGTCCGCTTTGTCAACACGCGGGATCAACAGCCGCTTCTGCTTCTGTAGTCTTCAGGGACGAGAGCGCTTCAACATCGTCAACATCAGCTTCTTTGATTTTTAGAAAATTCCACATCGAAATATTCTATGAATTGCAAAAGTATCGTACGTGCATAAATGCATTGCAAATTTCCCCAGCATGAGAAATAAAATTTGTAATGCTGATTTACCGTAAGAAAAAGATTTGTAATGCATGCTGCATGCATGATTGCAGTACGAGTACGATATTTTTGCACAGGATATACTCGCTAAACCAGGTTGGGTCTTCCTCGCGCAGTTTTTCTTCATTTGCTATCGAAACGAAAGATCCCCCCTCCCCATATCAAAACGGAATTTCTGATGCTGGATTGGTGTACACGAATCAGCTTTGTATTGCAGAGAGGCACTGCGGCCAGATCCCCAGGCTAGGTAGGGGCGTATGGGCCTAGTTGTTCAGCATGACAAACGGCTGACCTTTAGGCCCAACAGCATGACAAATTGCTTCCATAATGGGGCGGAAGCTTCTGCCCTTGTCTTCTTGCAAGACAGGTGTGATTTGTGACCTCAAAACAGCAGCACAAATTTTCGGAAACATACCTGTTCGATATGGGGAGGCGGGATTTTTCCTCTCAATATTTTCCCGGAACCAGTGCCACCACTCCCCGGCTATCCTGTGGAAAACCGTCCCCACCCCATAGTCAAGCTGGTAAGTCTGCAACACGAATGTTCAAGTTTTGCGAGTTGTGCATGACAAGTTCGTCCCCTCTGCAGCGTAGTGCTGGTTAGCAAGGGAAGCTGTGTGAGGAAGTCATTTTCTCATCCTGTTTACATCATTACAAGCTTCAAAACACGATTGGAAATGCCTCTCATGGAGCTGCGCATCACAAATCGATTCCTGTCATTGCACATTTGCATGGCAGCTCTGGGGTGGGGGCGTTTTTGCTCAGCATACCGGCCGCCGAGGGCAGGCCGACTGCGGACCAGTCTTGCGCGCCGCCATCGTCGAGCTGAGCTGCCTATCAAATGCAAAAATGTCTGGGTCTCGAAGATTTGTAGATTTGTCATGCATATTTTCCATGACCCATGTTGTCTGTAATGCCTAACCTGGCATCACAGATTTTTAGAGGGAATCCTGATGCCTAATCTGCATGAGAAATGCCCTCGCCGTGTAGAACAAACTGGACTCCTTTTGCTCCTCATGCAATACAGATTTTTTTCGAATCCGAAGACAGCATCACAAGTTACAACCTTCCAGACCCAGACATTTTTGCAATCCATACTGCCTCTGGTGTCACTTCATCTTGTTGCCTCGACCCTGATATTAAAACAGTCCCGGAACTACAAGAACTTTCATCATGCGGCCCGAAGATGTCGAAGGCCAGGGCGCCCTGCGGGGGTAATTGCCGAAAGGCGGACGCGGTTGCAAGCATCTGCCTGCAGTTGGTGCTTCCACTGACGATCCAGCTCGCGAGAGAATGGTTAAACGCCTCGGCACCATGAAATATTTCTTCCAAATTGGTTGTGATTCCAATCTATGCATTGCAAATATGTGTGGGTGTGGGAGATCGCGAGATTTGTCATGCTAGTCTGGCATGACTCTGAGCTTTGCATTGCGTGGCCGCGAAGTAGAGCTCCTCTCGCCTGTCATGCTAAGCCGCAGTTATTTCTCATGCGGAGTACGCAACTCAGAACCACGGAAAAACTTGTCATGCTTGAAAGCGTAAGCGCATTACAGTGTGCTCACTATTCCCTTCCTTGCATCATAAGTTTCCAGACCCAGGCATATTTGCATTTGATACTACCTCCCATCTGTCCAGTGCCTGGTTGAAGCGCTTCGCGTGCTGAAACATCCGGGCCATAGAAGTCACTTCCCTTTTGCATTGCAAATATGTCTGGGTCTGAAACCTTGTGATGCTGGGTGGCGTATCATGAGGAGGCCACAAGTGCTGGCTCAGCATGACAAGTTTGTGAGCTACTTCTAGGTGTTGCCTATTCTGCATGGCAAACTGCATTTCTGCATGACAGAAAAATGGGGCTCTTGGGTGACGTGCATGACAGATTTAACAGTCATGCCAGACAAGCATGACAAACCTGCATTCTCGTCCCAGACCCAGACATATCTGCACTTGATATTCCTCACGTCCCAGCCATTCAAATCCCGGTCGAAATTAACCGCGCACGAAAACATCCCCTATCCTGAGCAAAAACGTCCCCACCCCAGAGTCAAGTTGGGAAATCTGCTACGACAAATCAGCGAGCTTTTCTTGTTGCGCATGACAAGTTCTTTGGCGTCGTAGTGTGATTATCCTGTTGAGCTAGTAAAGTAGCATCGCAAATCTAGCATCTCATGCTGATTGAAGCATCGCAAATTCCGAAAAACGAACTGAAATTGCTTCTCATGAGAAATATTTTCAGCATGCAGGTTTGCAAGACAACTCTGGTGTGGGGACGTTTTTACGTAGGATACCCCTTCCATGTTGGTCACCTTCGATACGTCCCACTGACGGATATCTTGGTCGTATCCTGAGTAAAAGCGTCCCCACCCCGTAGTTGTCATGCAGATTTGCAGTCACAGAAAGATTTGTCATGCGGATCGCCATGAGAGACAATTCCAGTCGTGTTTTGGACTTTGTGATGCTGTAAACAGGATGAGCAGAAGGATTTGTGTTGCGGCTGTACTTGCTAAACTGCACTACAATACAGAGACGAACTTGTCATGCTTTACCCCCAAAACCTCTCTTCATGTGTTGCGAGATCCCCATCTCGACTCTGGGGTGCGGACGTTTTTGCTCAGCGTAGGTCGAAAGCCAGGCAGCCGGCGAAGCAGTACTGGAGGTTGGTAACGCGGCTGGTGTTCCACGCATCCAGGGGTTGGTTGAAGTCTTTGTTTTCGTAGAACATGAGCTCCATGGTATTCTGTGTAAAAACGTCCCCACCCCAGAGTTGTCATGCAAATGTGCAATGACAGGAAGATTTGCATTTGTAATGCGCACTTCCATGAGGGGCATTTCCAGTCGTGTTTTGGAATTTGTAATGCTGTAAACAGGACGAGAAAATGGCTTTGCCATGCGGCTTTCTTTGCCAGCCAGTACTACACTGCAGATGGAAAGAACTTGTCATGCAGAGCCCCCAAAACTAGGGGATTTGTGTTGCAGACTTCCCCTCTTGACTATGGTATGGGGACGTTTTTACATAGGATACATGGTAGTGGCGCCAGAAACATCCCACTGACTTATGTCCTCGTTGAAGCCCCTTCCGGCAAACGACGTGCGATTGTTATGCATTGCAAATATGTCTGGGTCTGGAAGATTGCAACTTGTCATGCTAAATCCGGATCATGCAAAAATTTGTGTTGCATGAGTGTCAAAAGCTGTCCACTTTCGACAAAGTTGGGAGGGAGTTTCTCATGCAGGATAGGCATGACAGAGACGTCACAGAGTCTTTCATGCTAGGTCCCGCATTGTAGACCTCATGGGTCTTGGAAAACCTGCATGACAAGTTTACATTCTTCCAGACCCAGACATATTTGCAGTTGATAATTGTGAGGCCTGGCCAAGTCGGACTGCGGATTGTGCGGCCACCCAGAGAGCAAGAGCTTCAGATCTTGAATTTTCGAAAGGTCCCAAATCCGCAGCGGTTATTGCGAGGAAAAATCCCCCCGCCTCATACCAAAACGGGACACTTCTGAAAATTTGTGATGCTGATTTGAAACCACAAATCGTCTCTGTATTGCAAGAAGGCAAATCCAAAAACCCCGCCGCGCTCTGCGGGCAATTTGTAATGCTGTATGGCCTGCGGAGGATAGGCCTGCCTTGCTAGGTGCCTACACCCAAAGGCCCCTACTCCTGCTTTGTATCTGGTTGCAGTCTTGTACTGCAAGACAAAGCCGATTTGTGTACACAGATCCCGCATCACAGATTTCCATTTCGATATGGGGAAAAGGGATTTTTCGTTACGATACCGGGCCGTGCTTCTTTTCCACCGCACGAAGCATGGGTCGGGTGTACAGGTTGTGTCGCTTTGATATTTCCACTTCACTTTGACTTTGCTTTCCTCCCGCACAAGAATAACTCGTTCTATTCTCGTTGTCTCGGTCAATTCTCTCCTGTACGAAACAGTGAAGACTGTACAGCGCTGCGTCATGTGCATTGCAAATACGTCCGGGTCTGGAAGGTTGGAACTTGTCATGCTAAATCTGAATCATGTAAAGATCTGTGTAGCATGATTACCAAAAGCTGTCCACGTGTGACCTAATCGAGGTGCACTTTCTCATGCAGAATAGGCATCATAGAACTATCACAGAATCTGTCATGCTATGTTCTACATATCACACCTCATGGGTCATGAAAAACCTGCATGACAAGTCTGGCACTCTTCCAGACCCAGACATATTTGCAGTTGATACGTCAACCTCTTCGCGGGTCTCAAAAGGCTCGAAAACTTTTATCAAATGGAAAAATCCCCCCACCCCATATCGAAAACGAAATTTGTGATGCTAAAACAACCGCACCGACATTGCCATTGTCCAGCATAGCTTTGGAGGCAAGCCTCCGCAGGCGCTGGAACGGCATAGGGTCAGAACCGCGAAAACATCGCAAGTATTTCTTCATCCCCGGGCACTTATATACTTTTCAACCTTACTTTGCGCTCACATTTCTTCACAAACGAAATTTGTGATGCTGTATTTGAGTACACAAATCGCCTTGTAATGCTAGAAGGCCAAGAGCCGCAGTTGTGGCCTCGGTTGCAGGCAATGCGTCACGCTGTTTCCCACTTCCAGTTGCTTTCTGTCATGCTGAAGATGCAAGGCTTCCCCACGCCACCCAGCACTACAGTCCGCATTTTTTCCCTTCTAGCATGACAAAGCTGGTTTGTGACTGCAAATCTGCATCACAGATTTCCGTTTTGATATGGGGAGGGAAATTTTTCTTCTTGATAATTTTCACCAGGTACTTCATCTTGAATGCCGTCCGCAATGATGTTCCAGACCCAGGTATCCTGTGTAAAAACGTCCCCACCCCAGAGTTGTCATGCAGATTTGCCATGACAGGAACATTTGCGATGCGCGACCCCATGACAGGCATTTTCAATCGTGTTTGGGAACTTGTAATGCTGTAAACAGGATCAGAAGGTCGATTTGTGATGCGGCGTTCCGTGCTAAGTTGCACTACCTTACGGACTGAAACTTGTCATGCGTGACTCCTAAAACTCCTAGCTTTGTGTTGCAAAATCTCCAACTTGACTCTGGTGTGGGTACGTTTTTACTCAGGATACCAGGCATCAACCTTTCTGCGTTTGATAGGACGGCATCAAGCGACGGCGAAGACCGTTGCTGCTGCTTTTCCACTAGCTCGTATCGCAAGAAAAAACTGTTTCGTTCGTAATGCAGAAAGTGGTGTCTTGCTACACATGCAAGACATGTGCATTTCTAGGCGTGTTTTTCCTTGGGTGGCTCGCGCTCGCGGGGCAAACTTCCTTTGTGATGCAGAGCAGACTTGTGATGCAAAACTTGCAAAATCATCACAGTGAAACAGTGTTTTCGTGGGATAGCTCGTGGTATTCGGTCAAAAGGGGCAACAACTCCATTTCCCCGGTCTCTCCCATCCTATGTAAAAACATCCCCACCCCAGAGTTGTTTGTAGTGCAAATCTGCATTGTAGTCAAAATGTTTCTCATGCGGAGCCCCATGAGAAGCGTTTTCTAGTCGTGTTTTGGAATTTGTGATGCTCGAATCAGCATGAGATGCTAGATCTGTGACGCTGCTGCACTAGATGAAACAAGACTACATTACGTTCGCAAATTTATTGTCATGCGCAACACCCGCAGCTCGTGGATTTGTCTAGCAGATTTCACATCTTGACTACGCGGTGGGGATGTTTTTACATAGGATATCTTCCTGCAGTATCAAATGCAAAAATGTCTGGGTCTGGAAGAATGCATGTTTGTCATGCTAAATCTGGATCATGCAACAATCTGTGTTGCATGAGTACCAAAAGCCGTGCATTTTTGACCAAGGTGAAAAGCAGTTTCTCATGCAGGATAGGCATGATAGAGCTCTCGCAGAATCTGTCATGCTAGGCGCTGCATTCCAGACCTCATGGGGCATAGAAAACCTGCATTACAAATCGCATATTCTTCCAGACCCAGACATTTTTACAGTTGATATGCAGGTATTCCTGGTCGTCGCCATCCAAGGGGTATCAAATGCAAAAATGTCTGGGTCTGGAAAGAACTTGTGATGCAAGTCTGCGACGTTTGGGCGCACTGGAGTACACAACCACGCATGACAATTTTTCGAGCTGCTGTGTGTTGCGTACTTAATGTTAATCCGCATGACAAATTGCGTTTTTGCATGGCAGGCAAGACCACGCGCGGCTCTACCTCGTGCCAATGCACAGTCACAGACCTGCTCAGAGTTGTCATGCCAGACAAGCATCACAGATCTTGCACTCTTCCAGAATATCGCAGATATGATATTTGCACTCGATAAGGGGTCGTCATACTCAAACAGCAGTTGGATATTTTCCCAAAACAATGATCTTCTAGCAGGAAGTCGTTTTGTAGCACCTTCTACCTTGTGGTTTTCGTCTGCACGAGGACTCGATGCACTTTCGGAAATTTTTTGATTCAGTGGTACCGCACGGTCAACAAGAACATCGGCATCCTTATGTCGCGGATCATCCCTCTGCCTCATCAACGCATCGCAGATCGCGGCTTTCAGATCCTTCACCCGGGGGGGTTGTGGTGCTGGCGCGTGTGGTGCAAGTGCAACAGCCACAGCAGCAGCATTTTTTCCCTCGCTGCTTGTGAACCAGGAGGACGGAGACGGACCACTGCATAATTCTTTCCTCCAAAGCAGTTCCGTTCCGCCATGAAAAAGCAACGGATCTCCGGTGAGTGCGTTCACAACAGCGATTTGTAGGGTGAGATTCTCCTGCTCGTGGTTCTTGTGGGATGAGTTGTTTTTTGGGTTCAGTATTATAGTGAAAAATGCTCCCACCTCCCCAGCACTTGCCAGCATTTGTACTGCAAACCTTTCCAATGGAAACATTCACTCTCTTGCATATCTCAGCATCACAAATTTTCCATGCTGAATAGCTCAAATTTGTGTTGCAAAGGAGCCCAAAAGCAGGCGGATCTGTTATGCAAGATTCTGCGTCACAAAGGAGCCCCTTGCGTGCCTAGATTCTGCATCACAAAGGCTCGCAGTCCTTTCATGCAAGACAAAAAGCTTTCATTTGGAAACTTTGCATGAGAAACATTTGCAACTTCCGGGGTGGGCGAATTTTTCACTGTAATATTCGACATCTCTGGTCGTTGTACTCCTCCGGTATCATCTACTCCCACCTCGTATCAAATGCAAAGGTGTCTGGGTCTGGAAGATTCTAAACTTGTAATGCTGACTCTGGATTGTAAAAAAATTTGGATTGCATGACCAGCAAAAGGACTCCAGTTTGTGCTACGTAGAGAGGGCATTTCTCATGCGGTAGAGGCATCACAAAGTCCTCTAAAAATCTGTGATGCTAGGGCATGCATCACAGACATCATGGGTCAGTCAAAATATGCATGACAAACCTGGCAATCTTCCAGACCCAGACATTTTTGCAGTTGATACCTCGGCGGTCGCAGGATACTGCTGCAGCGCATCGGCTATTTCCGAAGTCAACATCGTCTCACTTTAAATCGCCACAATGTTGTTGAGCAGGAAGAAAAGTAGAGGCGGTCTGGTAATCAACCATTCATCTACTACTTTCAGCGATCAGGATGAAAAATCTTTTCATCGGCGGATGATCCTGTTATAGCGCGTAGGAATGAGTTCACTTGTGGTATGTGCCTATTTTCTCCGCAGCGCTGTTTTTCTGGAGAGGACAGAAAGGCATTCGACTAGCCATGAAGTTGTGTAGTGCTGTAAGTTTTTCCTTTCATGATTTGGGACTAGATCATATGTAATGTGCAAGAGCGGGCAATAAATCATTGGAAGAAGACTGCGAAGGCCTAATATTACATGAAAAAGCGATGCAGTATATTTTCTTTTTGTGCAGGTCCTTCTGGCAAGGTCGCGCCCAGGTGCGTGGGGGTGGTTCTTTGGTGCCTACAACATACAATTTTACGTTCTTTGGTGCATACAACATGCGCCCAGTAGCCTGGGCGCGCTGAAATCGCAAAAAAAGTGGCATCTTTTTCCTTGGTCCGACGGAAGGCGCAAAAAAAAACAAAAAATCCTGCGCCGACCGGGCAGTTGAACAGTCGGGAAGCAGGGCGGGTGCGGAGCTGTGCTGCGCACCTGCCTGGCCTACGGCCGCTTGCCTAAAAAAAGCCCACTGGCGCCCCACCGCTTTTTCATTTTTCCCCCTCATACAAATTCCGCTTGGCCCCTAGCTACACCCTCGGGTGCGGCCGCTGGGCCTGTCGACGGCCTACACAGGGCGCAACTCGTGCTGCCGTCCGCGTAGAGGAGACAAGCAACAGACACCGGGGGCGGACTGCGGACCCCTCCGTCTGCACGAAGACAGGGCGCAGACGACGGCGCGCCACAAGGGCCTGCGCTCCGTCCGGACAGCAATAAAGATGCCGGCGTCGGAGCGCGAAAAACCTACGAACCTTCGGCAGCCACTAAGCCCGTAGGGCGCACGCAGCTGAGCAGGCCTGCGAAGCGCCACACCCACAAAAGCCGGGGCAAGCGACGGCCCAGAACTTACGCGCCGGCCCGCCTGCTGCAAAAATTTTAGTGCTGCCTCGGGAAGAAGGCTGGCGCCCCAGAACATGGGCCGCCCTTGCTGCTGTCTTCGCCATGCTGTCTTGCACAACTTTTTGAAGGATGCGCGCGGGTCGGAAAATGCACAAGAACTTCGTCGGCAGGCGGCGCAGCGCCCGATTACAGACCAGCACCAAGCTGGCCGCCTTGCTGCGCGAGGTGCAGGTACGTAAACTCGCCGGCGTCGACGTCGCAATACCCACGCACCTCATCCTTCTGCTCGTCATCGAGAGCAAATCCGCACATTGCCTCGACGGCGTCTAACACTGTGCGCTGCATCTCGAAGTAGTCCACACGCACCAGCCGCTGCATCTGGTCATCTGCCCTGTCGTTTGCGTCCCCCAAATACCGGGACGAGCGGCGAATCAACCAGGACTGCATGTGCGTCCTGAGTTAATTCCATTTTTTTTACTTTTAGCGCCGCGTGCTTCTGAGTTAAGGGGTGGCTCTTTGGTGCCTACAACATACAATTTTACGCACCGTATGGGTGCCTCCACCCGATGCGGTTCCTGGAACCGGATTGTCACTGGCGTAGGTGCCGCTGTACTCCTGGTACAGCTGTCTCAAGTTTTGCAAACCGATCTTGGCTTCATCATTCCCCGCGAAGGTTTTCTCGTGCACCATCCCGTAGAGCTCCCGTTGAATATGAGAGTGCACAACTCCCCCTCGTCCCCTCCATTTGTCATGCAAAATATCAAATCCGCATCTTGCCTCTAGGCACAGTTCGCATGAGAAATAATTTCGGAGCCTCGAACAACAGTACTACAGAAGTCCGTGTGCATATTTGTCATGCAGAAGCCACATTTCTGTCGTTGCTTGTGTTGCATGCTGTTCATGCAATACAAATGAGGGGGAGGGGGGTTGTGCACTGTCATATTGAAATTTGCTGATGTACTTCTCTAAATCCCTCTTTTCCTCCTCCGTGTGCTTTATTGTGTCCTGCTGGTGCTTATGAACTGCAAATATCTCTGGATGTCTGGAAACTTGTGATGCAAGAAAGGAAATAGTGAGCACACTGTCATGCGCCCCCTAGCATGACAAGTTTTTCCGTAGTTCAGAG